ATAGAATTATAGTGAAAGGCCTTTAACTTGCCATAAAGTGTGAACTGTCTCATATAATGGTGTCGGTGCTGTCAAGTCAATAATATTGTTGAATATTAAGTGTCCCCAACTAAGCAAGAACCTAAACTCCATCAGGTGACATAAATAGAGAAAACATCCTATAGCTATAACAGCTTTACACAAATATTTGTTCAAACGTGCTTCATTTTATGTAGGAAATTTGTCACTGAATAAAAAAAACACTAATGTACAGTAAATAGTAGTTTTTGAAGATAAATGTTATTTTAACTCAGCATCTTTGCTGTATATGCTGTTTATGTAAAAAATAAATGTAAAATGTATTTAATATTTGAATATAGAAAATGTATTGTTTGTGTTCCATCTAATTCTGCGTTGTGACTTTATTGTAGGTTAAATGATTGTAACTTAACAGACAAAAGCTGTTCAGCTCTGGCTGCAGTTCTTGGATCAGATACCAATCTGAAAGAGCTGAACATGAACAATAATAATCTGCAGGATTCAGGAGTGAAGCTGATCTGCACTGGACTGAAGAATATAAAGTGTAAATTGGAGATACTGAGGTAAGTTGAGCCACAGGAGTCACATGACTAGAGTGAGGTGCGATGACTGACAGGACGATGCCGGAGGCAAAAGCACAAGAGAACTTTTGTGAAAAATTCAAAGATCTTTTATTTATTTGTTACAACGTGGGTATACCATATCAATCCTGTCATTGTGCTATTTTATTTTTGTTGTGTTTTTTCATCTAGAAATATTGAAGTGACATTAAGCATTCATTTTGTTCCAAGAAAAGGAAAGATCTAACATTACATATCAGAATAAGAGCTACAGATCCTGAGGGTCATTGGCAAATATCTTTTCTTGTAAAATAAGTGCTCCTCATGGCTCTGGGGGTTTAATAAAGGCCGGAAGCTAGTTATTTTAGTCGATAAAGTTTTAAAGGTGGGGTATGTGATTTTGTTTTCTGACCTTTTTTTCAAAATCACTTGAAATCCTATTCCTAACCCACTTACAGCCACTGAGTTAGAAGCACTGAAATGAAAATTAAGCAATTTAATCATCTGTGGAACAGGCAGGACTCGAAAAACTCCAGCCAATCATTTCCAAGACCACCTAGAATCATTGGACAGTAAGTTCGTCAATCAAACGGTCGTACCATACCCCCCTCCCCCATCCCCATTGCGCGCGTGTCCCCTTCGTGCGCATACTCAAAGCTCGTCACCCAGTCACATGCCAGTCGCCCCGGTATAGAGAGAGAGAGAGTAAGTGCAATCTTGCGCATCTGAGTTTTGCAGATGCATGATTGCGCGTCCATGTTCTTCGAATGGGTGGAGTCAGGGCCAGCGTTGGAGGAAAGAAGGTAGGACCTTTTGAGTTGTGTATTTTCAAAATCTGCCGGCCGTTTTGCAAATCACATACCCCACCTTTAAATAAGGATATTTTTCTTACACGAACACATCGCTTCACTTCAGAAGGCTTTTATTAACCCCCCAGAGCCGTGTGCAGCACTTTTATCATGGATGGATGCACTTTGATGGTAAAATATACATGTTTGGTATCATTTGAAATGTCTCAAATGGTACAAAGGTCTCATTCCCACAGAAGTAAACCAAAAAGGTAATAAGGTGTGGAGAGTTTAGAGATATCTTGTTAACTGCTGTGTGTCTGCCCCCATGTAAATCAACGTCTGTCCCCAGTAAGTCTGGGACGGTGATTAATGCAAATTCCCACTGTGAACTCATGTTTACATTTGAAAAGAGGTTTCTGCCTTGGTCTGAGTATTTAGGGAGATGCTGAAGAAGGCTTGTGGCAATTTGTAACTCAAATTAGCCTGTGATGCAGAGTGTATGCAGGCACTCGGCATCATGTATTTTTTATATGTATATTAATTGTCCCCAATTAAGAAAGACTGAGGCGTGGCTCAGTGAGGCTCGCGTGGGTGTGGTCACATTAGAGTTAATTAGGACGCGTTTGAGAAACTGTTCATGTCGCTGCTTTCATACGGATAACTTAAACATAGAATATTTGTTTTTTATATAATTTACATCATTTAAAAATAGAGACTCCAAGCGTTGTAAAGACATTCGTTTCAAGTCTGTGTGACAAACATTCGCCGAGTTACAGATCATCTTCTGTCGCATTTCAGAATGAACTTCACATTGAGAGAGACGGCAGAACGCGCATCATGTTAATTTTCTTTATTTTACGAAAAACACAACATTTTGTTTTTATTATGAGTGTACACAAATAAAAGAAGACATTTAACAGTTGAATGATGTTTAACACTTATTTGTAAGATCAAAATCAACAGAGTATTTTGAGTCTATTTTGCACTGATAAGAAAAAAAGCGAGCTGGTATCGCGACCGCCGACCCCGGAGGGTTAACCAACCAAAACACGATTAGAGTGATTGACAGTTTGCTTAGATTACGTAAGCAGATTTGTCAAACACAAGTGCGTGCCCTCGTGCGCTTTCGTCATTTTACACACAGCGCGCACAGATTCGTCATTGCTTTGCAACACGGAGCTTGTTTCAACGCACGGATTTTCTCCAACGTCATATTTGATCATCTACATCATGGATCGTCGACTAAAGAAGAGTTTTTGTGGTGTTGAGAGTGTTTTGGAGGAGGTGATGAGGAGCAGCGATGAAGAGCAGCAGAAAGACGCTGAGAGATGCATCAGTGCACGGTGTCGAGCGTCGATTCGGCAGATGAGGAGATGTACTCACACATGCATACACAGTGTTGCAATTTTATTTGTTCTGCTTACACACTTTATCTTTCCTGTCTTTCAGTGGCTTTAGTTTCCAGTTGGTTAGAGAACAAACCTTGGTAGTGACTGCCTTGATCAACATGTCTTCCTAGACTGTAAATACTGTAATTGCTTTATTTTTAGTAATTGGATATTCATTATAATTTATCAGTTTATTGTAATTTATTTGAGTAAAAACCACTGTTGCAATTACAAATGTTATTTTATTATTTTTATATAATTTATCAATTAGTTGTAAAACAATCATTTTTGTAATGTGAGTATTTTGGTTTCACTGTTTTTGCTATTAGAATTATTCAAAATAAAGTATTTTTTGTTAAAGTTAAAATGTTGTGCTGAAATCGGTTTTTCTTGTGTGGTTTTATGGGCAGAACAGTTCTGAATTGATATACATGTGTGTAGTATGTAGTGTTTTCTCCTTATGGCATTTGGTTACCAGGTGGAGTCTCCAAATGGCCTTTTGGAAAGGACGCCTAGACTTTTCTTGAATAAAAGCTTACAGAAACTACATTTTTGGGAGTAACATCTTCAAATTTGGATCAAAACATGGTCAGACATTCAGTTTTATCTTTATTGTATTTTCAGGCCTTTAAAATAAAAGTCTGATAAATTTTTCCTTAAATGAAGTTCATTCAAAGAAATCGTGAGTCACTTTCATGTAAATTTTACCTTGATTTACTCTGTTCCTATGCTACTTTGAGTTATTATGACTCTTGGGTAACAAAGTTTCAAGTGTCTAGTTTAAATAAATATCAGAGTTATGAATGTGGACCATATGGTTTAAGAGCTACAGACATTTGTATTTGAGTATGTCGTTTTCAGAAAATTCTCAAAAATAGGGGCGCTGGTTAACTGATTTGAGGTTTACTTGATTGACAGGACAGCTGTTTCGGTGGTTGCCTAGCAACATAAAAAACGCAGCGCACTGCTGTTCTGTGTGAACTAGTTCTGCTTTGCACCTCGCGTTTTCGAACCTGAAAAACGCCTTTGGTGTGATCGAGGCTAAAACTTCTACCGTAAAACATAAATAAAGATGAAGATCTCTCTTCTCTCTCTCTCTCTGCTAATGTAGGTTAAGCTGCTGTTATATGACAGATGAAGGTTGTTCTGATGTGACTTCAGCTCTGAAATCAAACCCGTCACACCTGAGAGAGCTGGACCTGAGCGGGAATAAACTAGGAGACCCTGGAGTGAAAAACCTCAGTGATCTACTGATGAACCCACAATTCAAGCTGGAGAAACTACAGTTAGTGTCATTATACTGTACAGCAATTACAGTGTGACTGAAGTTTATTTATTTGAAGACAGCAGGGCTTATGTTTCATTGGTTATAGCAGTGCACTTTCTGGGTTTCCCTATTGCTCACATTTTTATGTGTTTTTTTATCTAGATAGTAATTGTTTAATTCCCAGCATCTGATACAATGTACTGATTGTGTACATGCAGAAATCTGCCTTTTCAACAGAGAATGAAGAAGAGAGACGTCAAATAAATAGTTAAAAATGAAAAGAAGAAACAGTGTCTTCCAACTCTGTGTAAATATTCTGTGGCTTAGTAAATTTTTTCACAGACGAAAACAAGATAGGGAGAGACGATTTGTGAAGAGATCCAGTCAGAACTGACTGGCGTTTGTGTAGATGCGCACAGTTTGAGTTGTAACGTGCTGATCTACCCAGCGGGATACAAGTTGGCATGCGCTTGATATCTCATAAAACGTTAAAAAATGTAAACGTCTGGGAGAAAGAGAAGAGCAGACATATGGATGGATCCTTCTACCTCACATTCAGCCAATCACACGCTCCGAAAGCACACTTCTACCTCACATTCAGCCAATCACACGCTCCGAAAGCACACTTCTACCTCACATTCAGCCAATCACACGCTCCGAAAGCACGCTTCTACCTCAGATACCGTATATACTGTATATATATATATATACATACATACAAGAATCAAAAGTTTAAACTAAAACACTTTATACTCAATATCTCACAATGAGTCTAAATTCACATTATATTTCTGCAAACATTTTCACCGTAGTATTTTGTGATGTGGTCAAATAATGCTTACGAAGATGATGTGACTTTACAGAATAAAGAGTCTCTTATTTTCTTCATTCTCTCTTTCTCTCTCTCTCTCTCTCTCTCTCTCTCTCTCTCTCTCTCTCTCTCTCTCTCTCTCTCTCTCTCTCTCTCTCTCTCTCTCTCTCTCTCTCTCTCTCTGCTAATGTAGGTTAAGCTGCTGTGATATGACAGATGAAGGTTGTTCTGATGTGACTTCAGCTCTGAAATCAAACCCGTCACACCTGAGAGAGCTGGACCTGAGCGGGAATAAACTAGGAGACTCTGGAGTGAAAAACCTCAGTGATCTACTGATGAACCCACAATTCAAGCTGGAGAAACTACAGTTAGTGTCATTATACTGTACAGCAATTACAGTGTGACTGAAGTTTATTTATTTGAAGACAGCAGGGCTTATGTTTCATTGGTTATAGCAGTGCACTTTCTGGGTTTCCCTATTGCTCACATTTTTGTGTGTTTTTTTTCAGTGCTGTCAATCGATTAAAAAAAATAACTCGATTAATCACAATTAAAAACACAGCTTTTATAGGTTTATATTTAGTTTATATATTTTATAATGTAATCATTTCACAGTTAATCTCCAAATTAATGTAGAGACAACATAAAGACAGTATATTTTAAATACTTGTTTAATGGCATCTTTTTATGAATGAAGGTCAGTATCACTGATAAGTCAAAAAATACAAAAATGGTGTGCACATCCCAAACACCCAAACTGGGCTCAAGTGCAGGACAACTGAGTGCCTGATGAAGACCTGAGGGTCGAAAAGTTGCCTTTTAATAAATACTTTTGGAGCAGTCATTTTTAGTGTGCGGACTTCACACTTCTTTATTTGTCAGTATCACTGATACTAATACAGCTCTATGTCATGACATTATAATACAGCTAATACAGCTCTATGTCATGACATTATAATACAGCTAATACAGCTCTATGTCATGAAATTATAATACAGCTAAAACAGCTCTATGTCATGACATTATAATACAGCTAATACAGCTCTATGTCATGAAATTATAATACAGCTAATACAGCTCTATGTCATGACATTATAATACAGCTAATACAGCTCTATGTCATGACATTTTAATACAGCTAATACAGCTCTATGTCATGACATTATAATACAGCTAATACAGCTCTATGTCATGACATTATAATACAGCTAATACAGCTCTATGTCATGACATTATAATACAGCTAAAACAGCTCTATGTCATGACATTATAATACAGCTAATACAGCTTATGTCATGAAATTATAATACAGCTAATACAGCTCTATGTCATGAAATTATAATACAGCTAATACAGCTCTATGTCATGACATTATAATACAGCTAATACAGCTCTATGTCATGACATTATAATACAGCTAATACAGCTCTATGTCATGACATTATAATACAGCTAATACAGCTCTATGTCATGACATTATAATACAGCTAAAACAGCTCTATGTCATGACATTATAATACAGCTAATACAGCTCTATGTCATGAAATTATAATACAGCTAATACAGCTCTATGTCATGACATTATAATACAGCTAATACAGCTCTATGTCTCCATGAAAATTACCCCCCCCCCCATTTTAAACAATTAATTATAGCCATTCAACATTACAGTGTAATTGAAAGCAACCAATTTTTTTTTAACATTTATTAGGCTTCAAAAATATAACTTAAAATTTAAGTGAACTTTAAACAATCCTCACATAAACCTTAATTAATGTCATATTTACCTGTGCCCTTCCTACCTGTCTAACATATACAGAACAATATACAGAAATTGAATAAAGTTATCAAACAGTCTGCAATGCATACATTATAGATTAAATATAGACTAATCCTTATCAAAGCTACAAAAGTTCTTTACTCAAGAGCAGTGAGTAATGTTCTCTGTTACCTTTGTTCTTTGATTAGTTTTACTGACAGACATGATTATTGGCTACTGTCACTTTAAGACCAGCCGCTGCTGATAGAGACGCGGATCTCACACGCGTCTCATTCTCTCACAACTCTTTACGTTCATTTAAGACTTTATTCAACTCATTTCAGACTGTTCTTATGTTATGAGGATACTCGACAAAACGGACATTTGTCATAATTGTGTGTTACTGTTCATTCAAGCGTGAAAGAGAACTATATTCTGGCGCGCTGTCTGTGCGCACGATACTGGCGCGCGTCTTTCTGTGCATCGTGTGTGTGTGTGTGTGTGTGTCACATAGACAGGTCATTCACAGGCAGGTCATTAAACTTGAATGGTTTAAAAGCATTTGTAAGAATAAGAGCGGCATCATATAATGTAAAGCTAGCCAAAGGATGACAAAAATTTATGGATGCTGCGTTAAATATTTTAACGTTAAACTGGACAAAAAATAATCGCATGCGTTAACGTTGACAGCCCTAGTTTTTGTATCTAGTTAGTAGAGTGTAGTTAGTAATTGTTTAATTCCCAGCATCTGATACAATGTACTGATTGTGTACATGCAGAAATCTGCCTTTTCAACAGAGAATAAAGAAGAGAGACGTCAAATGAATAGTTAAAAATGAAAGAGAAGAAACAGTGTCTTCCAGCGCACAGAACTAGTGTGACTGGGTTTTAAAACAGACTATTGGTAACTAAATGCTGCTGTAGCTCTTCAATAAGATGATCATCATAGATGTGAACTATTGTTATTTCTCTGTCTTCAGTCTGAGTGGATGCAGTATTACAGAGAAACAGAGTCTCATCCTGACTTCAGCTCTGAAATCAAACCCGTCACACCTGAGAGAGCTGAACCTGAGCGTGAATAATCTAGGAGACTCAGGAGTGAAGCACTTATGTGCCGTACTGAAGGATTCACACTGTAAACTGGAGAGATTGAGGTCAGTCACATTCACATACAAGAATCAAAATGCTTAAAATCACTTCAACGGTTTAAACTAGAACACATTAACATTATATTTGTACAAACATTTTCACCATAGTATTTTGTGATCTGATGAAATAAAGATGAAGATCTCTCTTCCTCTGTCTGTTTTATTTGCTGATGAAGATGATGTGACTTTACAGAATAAAGAGTCTCTTATTTTCTTCATTCTCTCTCTCTCTCTGCTAATGTAGGTTAAGCTGCTGTGATATGACAGATGAAGGTTGTTCTGATGTGACTTCAGCTCTGAAATCAAACCCGTCACACCTGAGAGAGCTGGACCTGAGCGGGAATAAACTAGGAGACTCTGGAGTGAAAAACCTCAGTGATCTACTGATGAACCCTCAATTCAAGCTGGAGAAACTACAGTTAGTGTCATTATACTGTACAGCAATTACAGTGTGACTGAAGTTTATTTATTTGAAGACAGCAGGGCTTATGTTTCATTGGTTATAGCAGTGCACTTTCTGGGTTTCCCTATTGCTCACATTTTTATGTGTTTTTTTTTTTATCTAGATAGTAATTGTTTAATTCCCAACATTTGATACAATGTACTGATTGTGTACATGCAGAAATCTGCCTTTTCAACAGAGAATAAAGAAGAGAGACGTCAAATAAATAGTTAAAAATGAAAGAGAAGAAACAGTGTCTTCCAGCGCACAGAACTAGTGTGACTGGGTTTTAAAACAGACTATTGGAAACTAAATGCTGCTGTAGCTCTTCAATAAGATGATCATCATAGATGTGAACTATTGTTATTTCTCTGTCTTCAGTCTGAGTGATTGCAGTATTACAGAGAAACAGAGTCTCATCCTGACTTCAGCTCTGAAATCAAACCCGTCACACCTGAGAGAGCTGGACCTGAGCAGGAATAAACTAGGAAACACAGGAGTGAAGCACTTATGTGCCGTACTGAAGGATCCACACTGTAAACTGGAGAGATTGAGGTCAGTCACATTCACATACAAGAATCAAAATGCTTAAAATCACTTCAACTGTTTAGACTAGAACACATTAACATTATATTTGTACAAACATTTTCACCTTAGTATTTTGTGATCTGGTGAAATAAAGATAAAGATCTTTCTTCCTCTGTCTGTTTTATTTGCTGATGAAGATGATGTGACTTTACAGAATAAAGAGTCTCTTATTTTCTTCATTCTCTCTCTCTTTCTCTGCTAATGTAGGTTAAGCCACTGTGATCTGACAGATGAAGGTTGTTCTGATGTGACTTCAGCTCTGAAATCAAACCCGTCACACCTGAGAGAGCTGGACCTGAGCAGGAATAAACTAGGAGACTCTGGAGTGAAAAGCCTCAGTGATCTACTGATGAACCCACAATTCAAGCTGGAGAAACTACAGTTAGTGTCATTATACTGTACAGCAATTACAGTGTGACTTAAGTTTATTTATTTGAAGAAATTTATGCACTTTCTTGTTTTATTATGTTTTTATTATTTATGTTTTATTGTTGACATTGACGAGTGTTGTTAGTCCGCTGAAGCAGCTCAGATGAGGTCGTTTATCGTGTGATGTGCAATATCATTACAGCACCAAAGTAGAGTTAATATTAGGCAATTATTTCACAACCTTCATTATATAGACCATATACAGTACAGCCCCTTTTCAGCTGCGCTCGTTGTCTTTTGAGTTCCGGTCTGCATTTTCACAGTGATCTTGCGTATTTATGAATGAACGGCTCATTTTAAAATCTTCCCGCTCTACTGACATTTGTTGAGACCAGTGTTAATTTCATTGACGAATCACACGTTCCGAAAGCACGCTTCTACCTCACATTCAGCCAATCACACGCTCCGAAAGCACACTTCTACCTCACATTCAGCAAATCACACGCTCCGAAAGCACACTTCTACCTCACATTCAGCCAATCACACGCTCCGAAAGCACACTTCTACCTCACATTCAGCCAATCACACGCTCCGAAAGCACACTTCTACCTCACATTCAGCCAATCACACGCTCCGAAAGCACGCTTCTACCTCACATTCAGCCAATCACACGCTCCGAAAGCACGCTTCTACCTCAGATACCGTATATATATATATATACCAGTGGTGGGCCGTCAGGGTCAGCAAGGCCTTCTCTGCTGGCCTAAACACTATCAGAATCACTGACTTGCACTTTAATATATTTTTTCCATGAATGAGTATTAAATGATTCCCAATAGTCCATTCTCTTAATTTCATAGCTTTTCTCTTGGTTGCACTGCTTCCAGTAGTGTATGTTTATGTTAGAGCTTTTATCCAATCATATTTCAGCCATCATGTGTTGTCATGGACAAAGAAATCTGCCTTGAGGCCTTCAGAATCAATAGAGCGGGCGCCTGTAGCTTAAATGAATGGCAATGAAACTGTTGCTTTAACCAATCAGATAATCAGTCAGATTTAAT